AGGGCATCCGCCCGCGCGCCCCGCCGCCAGTGTCCACCTCTCCCCCTCCGGGTCCCGCCCCCCTCCCCCGCGACACGCGCCTGCATGCCGTGCAGTCTGGGTGAGCTGGATCAAAACACAACCCGACACCGCGAACCGCAGGGCACGGGCACGCGGTCGGCGCGCAGCGGGGCGGGCGGGGCGCGCGGCGTGGGCCGCAGGGGGCGGAGTGGAACACTTTGCCCTCGGCACCTTGGAGAACATTCTCGCACCCCCTGCCCTGCCGCCGCGCGTTGCGAGCCCGTTGTCAAGGGGACGTCGTCTAGTGTCTAGGGCCCGCCGCCGAGTAGTGCCTCGTAACGGGATGCCCCACCGGCCGCGCCGCCGGCCCGCCCCGCCGCGCTGGACACGAAGCTGCTCCTCGCTGTATATGGCCGGTGTTTGCTACTCCGGTCTGGCCCGGCTGCTTGCACTGTGCGGCTCGCGGCCTGCTCCCGGGCCTGCCCGTTGTGCGGGACCGGGCGGGGCGGGGCGCGCAGAGCTGAGCGGGCAGCTGAAGTCTGGCCAGGCGATCCCAGCTGGCGGCGATGGCGATGGGGTTGTTGTTGTGGGGCAGGACAGAGGCGGCTGCGTGGACACCGTGTCGCTGTCTCCTAATCGCCTCGACTACGGGCCCCGAGAGCTGCTGGCGCGCTCCGGGTTTTCCTGGAAGTAGGCTTCCTTCTGTCGTCACGTGGAGGAGGAGGTCCCTTCCGACTGTCCCCCGAGAGCGTCCGGCGTGGCTCCGTTCGCCGCCCACCCGGAGTCGTTTCCGGGACGTTGCAGGGAGCCGTGTGGCCTCGCAGCCTGCCAGGTCCCTCAGGTACCCGCAGGTACGTCCCAGGAGGCCGGCCATACTCCTCGCACCCGACGGCTTACCGCCGGCGGAGGAGATGGCGCGCCAGCGGCTCCCGGGAAGAAGGCCCTGGAAGATCCCGGATTTCTTCCTCCGGAGCAGCCTTTTCGGGCCACATATGCAAAGCCACCAACAGCATCCCGGCAGCCCGGCGTGCGCCGCCGGCCCCTGGCCAGTGCCTTATCAAGGCCAATCAGCACCCAGCTTGTCCCCGCGGAGCCCCTGGCGGAGCCCAGCCGGCCAGCACGAACAAAGGGCGCACCCAGGGCGCACACATTAGGGGCCATGGGGATTATGTACAGGGGAAAGCGAGAGTGAGCCCGGGGGTCAGCGCCACGCGCCGCCACGCCGCGGCTGCAAGCGTCTGCAAGGGCCGCGTGTGAAGTCCGCCGCCCCAACCCCAGCAGAGCCCGCGCCAAGACGCCACGCCCGGGCCTGAAATCCGTCTCCCTGTTGTTGACATGACAACAAACGACACATTACTCTCTGACGGCCATAGGCGCCTTTGGGGCCGGGCTGGTCGGGCGGGGACGGCTGGCCTTACAGCCCTTTTGTCCTCTGTCCAGCAACAACAAACGCGCGGCCCCAACTCATCGGCGACACGAGACTCTATTTGACTTTTCGACTGCGTCTCGGGCCGTCTGGCCCAGCTGTGCAGGTGGGTCGCCAAAACACCCACCGCAAAAAAAAAATATAAAAAAAATTCTACCGGTGAACCAAAGAGATACGGAGCGGTGAGAGAGGAGGAGATTATCACTGAGATTGCTTTTCTCAGTGGCAAGACGCTATGTAAGTGCGGTGTGTGTGTGTGTGTTTGAGAGAGTTGTGTTTGTGCGTAGGCGGCTATGTTTGTTTTGACTGTACTGGACATATCGCCATGTCACACCCACCCCCTCGCACCCCTCCCCCGCACACTCACAGGCGCACATTGGCTGATCCGCTTAGATGGCTAGGCTACCTGCGCAATTTTGCTTAAATAGGCGGACCCGGCGGAGTGAAGCGTTGTAAAAACAACAGTGATATATTATCAGTAATAAATTAACTTACTGCTCGGGAGTCGTCGTGGGGATGTGTTTGCGAATTTCAATATTCGGCCACCCATTTTTCTCCCCCCTTGCGCCCTCGCCGGCCCGACCTCACTGACCCAAAACCCAAACCGAAGCGCAAGGTGGTTAGACCTAAAGGCCGCGTCGTATCTTATCCAGCGCGGTGCAGCGGCCGCGCTGCCCCGGTCCCCCGGCCGAGACACCAGGTGCTCCAATTATAGAAAATTAGATACTCGATTCGCTTTTTGGCCCCGCCGGCCGTGCTCCAGTCTAGACGAAGGGGGCAGCGCGTCACGAGGGCTATCGGCCCCGGCCCACCCCGCGACCCGCCGCCCCACCCCAGGCACACTGCCGTGCGAAAACAGTAATCGCAATGTTGTAACCGGTTCCATCTGGTTCCATCAGAGAATACAAAGAAGGGTTTGCCTATACTTCCCAGGCACCCTATCTTTGGCGTCATTTTTTATCATTGGTGCAAAAAATTATGGTACAAGCACTTTTACACTTGATTTTCACAATTAGTACGCGTTATTACGCTATTAGTACAAGTTAGTACGTCTTTAGCACAGGCCTGGGTACGATTTAGTACACAAGTGATTTTTCCCTCGTCTTTGGTACATACGTAGTGTACATTGTACTACCAAGTACGCAAGGCGCTCGCTGGCCCCTGGTCATAGTTACATAACCCGGGCCTCAAAAGACCTACAGGTCTTCACAGTCCCGAACGAGTATGCAGACCTGCAGAGGTGTACAGTAAAACACCCTCAACTCGCGCGACACCGTCGCGGAAGGACGACACTGCCACGGGCGCGGCGGCCCACTTTTTGCACACAGTGTACAAACCGTGCACTTGCACACGTTTCGAGGCCAAAGTCGGACGCCCGGCGGACATTCGCGGCCAGGTAAGCAATACTGGAAGCAAGCGTGATCACTATTTAGTGTCACTCGCAGGGCAAAAATCGCCGACCGTGGCGATTTCGTGTCGCTTCCACCGACGCCACCAGTCGTACGAGTGTGCAAAAGGCCACACCGTCGCCGCCGTACATG